TATATATACACACATACATACATATATATATATATATATATATATATATATTCCTGTGATGGCAAAACTGAATTTTCAGCCAGTCTTCAGTGTCACATGATCCTTCAGAAATGATGCTGCTACTATGCTGACTTGGTGCTATTAATTATTATCACAGTTTAAAGCAGTCATGCTGATTAATATTTTAGTTTAAAACCATGTTATATTTTTTCAGGAAACTTTGATGAATAGAAAGTTCAAAATAACTTTTAATATTATTTTATTTATATTTATTTGAAATGGAATTTCTTTGTAGCAATATAAAAGTCTTTACTGTCACTTTTGATCAATTTAATGCATCCCGAATGAAACTATTGTTTTCTTTAAAACCAAAAATCTTACTTACCACAAATTTTTGAACAGTAGTCATTTTTGATTGTAGCGTTCATGAAATTTCGAAACCAAGCTTTCCAAAGAGTTTGGGATCATATGCAGTACTTGCATAGAGTGTGTTTCGGACTTAATAGTCTAGGCTAATTAAGGATAATGAAGGTGAAATGCCTGCTGACACCATCTCATCTATCTTTACACATATAAGGCTGTAATTCAGAAAATGCAGGGACATCGCAGTGGAGTGTAACCTTCTGGCATTTCATTCTGCTGATGAAATTGGTGTAGGGCACAGGTTTCCTGTAGAATGGCCTAAACCATTCATTCTTAGGTCTGCCAGCCCTTAATTAAATCCTGATCCACTCAAGAGCATGTGTGCAATTTCAAGCACACATAATTAAACTTCATTTATTTTCAGTTTTTTTCCATGTCGCCTTTATAATTCTGGAAGAAATGCCAATCAGTGCTTTCCAATTACACATTTATTTTCACTGGCTGCATTAAACATGACAGACCGAGAATGACTGTATCATGCTGGTCGGCGTGTGTTTCAGCATGCGTCTAGATGAAAAGACTGGTTCACTTTGTTTGAAGTTATGGACCATCTCATGGGAAACTCTCGGCTGTCCCTGTAGAGTGCACTGTTTAGAAGATCCTCTTTTGTTGTTTCAGTGAAACTTCTGGAGTCTTCCTCTCAACTCCACACTGCACATTTTAGTCTCAGTCCCAGACCACAAACACTGCTAAAGACACACAGCCACATTGCCTTGCTCTCTCAGAAGACGACACGCTCCAGCGAATACTAAGGGCCACGGTAGAGATACTCATGTTAATTATAAAGCTCTGCCCAAGCTTCAGAGTGCGCCCAAAGGAAATCATCCTTTTAATGCATCTCCGATGTGTATTTAATGAGAATTGAGCACATTCCAGATTTTTATGTCATCCTCTTTTATTAGGGTTATTGCTTGTCATAGAGTGCACTGTTTAGAAGATCCTCTTTTGTTGTTTCAGTGAAACTTCTGGAGTCTTCCTCTCAACTCCACACTGCACATTTTAGTCTCAGTCCCAGACCACAAACACTGCTAAAGACACACAGCCACATTGCCTTGCTCTCTCAGAAGACGACACGCTCCAGCGAATACTAAGGGCCACGGTAGAGATACTCATGTTAATTATAAAGCTCTGCCCAAGCTTCAGAGTGCGCCCAAAGGAAATCATCCTTTTAATGCATCTTCGATGTGTATTTAATGAGAATTGAGCACATTCCAGATTTTTATGTCACCCTCTTTTATTAGGGTTATTGCTTGTCATCCATTTCCTACTGTGTCAATATAACAAGGGGCCGCCTCTCTGAGATTGTATCCTTTGCTTTCACGGGGCTGTGATTGCCCTCTATCACATGAGTACTTTTAAGGGACATGCTCTGATAGGGTGCTTGTGCCCATCAGCTACCAGAAGTTGTTTTGGTGCTTAATTGGGCATGCATAATGAACAATATGTTTTCTGGGTATCTGGATTCATGCTACTTGGTGCTGTGTGATTTTTATGCTGTGTCTTCTGTGTCTACCTCTAGGCTCCAGGTAAGTCAGTAATTGAGGTGTCTCACTTTCTGGAGTGGATGGGCCTAGAGCCTCAGTCGGTGGTGTGGCTTCCTGTTTTGCATCGGGTGACCGTGGCTGAGACAGCCAAGCACCAGGCACGCTGCTACATCTGTAAACAGTGCCCTATCAAGGGCTTCAGGTGAGCTGCTGCAGCGCTGAGTAGTTTTTTGGAGAAAGACGGCACAGATCTCTCTATCTTTGTTTTTTAACTACTCAAAATAAATTATTCAAAAATCTTCTTTTAGCTGATCAAAGGGTTTGATGTAATAGCATTCAAGCTAAGAACTACAGAGGGAGTAGTATACATGGGTTGTTAATGGACTGAATTTGTGTAAATTATTTGAGCTGAGCTTAAATGAATATGTGAATACTGTTAAATTTATATTAATTTTATTTTTTAATTTGGCAAAAATCTTTGTTACATATTTTCATTTATTATTTATTTTTTGATATTTAGTTTTAATCATATTTATTTTTGTCTCTTATTTATGTTGTTTTTCCAAAAAAAAAAGAGTAGGATTACCCCGCTGCTTATTAACCAGAATACATTATGTACACTACCGTTCAAAAATTTGGGGTCAGTAAGATTTTTTTTTTAAAGAAAGAAATTAATACTAATATTGTAAATTGATCAAATGTGACAGTAAAGATTTTTCTCCTTACTTTTTTTTTTATTTCAAATAAATGCTGTTCATTTTAAACTTTCTATTAATCAAAGAATTCTGAAAAAAGTATTACCGTTTCCACAAAAATATTAATCAGCCCAACTGTTTTCAACATTTATAATAAGAAGAAATGTTTCTTGAGCAGCAAATCAGCATATTAGAATAATTTCTGAAGGATCATGTGATACTGAAGACTGGAATGAAGTCTGCTGAAAATTCAGCTTTGCCATCACAGGAATAAATTACATTTTAAAATATATTAAAACAGTTATTTTAAATTGTAATAATATTTTACTGTATTTTTGATCAAATAAATGCACCCTTGGTGAGCATGAGATACTTATTTTTAAAAACATTAAAACATTTTACCAAACCCAAACCTCTGAATGGTACTGTAGAGTACAGTAAGTAATATTGTGTTTTGTATGCTGGTTTTCAGGTGTCCCCACCCTTCATTGATCTACTTCAGTAGAAACAGCCAAGTTTTGCTGGTGAACACAAGTGGCTATAATATCCCACCATTTAGACCTATACTAAACCATCACTATCCAGCATAAAGCACCCTGCTAGTTTTAAATCGTTATTATCAGCAGGGTGGTTGAGATTCATTATTTTAATCTATTCATAATCCTAAAATTAACACCTCAATAATTGGATGTAAAATGTGTGTCTGCCTGTTTCAGATACCGAAGTCTGAAACAGTTCAATGTGGACATCTGCCAGACGTGTTTTCTGACAGGCAGAACTACCAAGGGCAAGAAACTACACTACCCCATCATGGAGTACTACACCCCGGTACTTATGCTTTGTTACTTGCAGAGGTTTTTTCCTTGCCAACTGGCAGCTTTTTGCTTGCTCAAAGGTTTCAGATTCAATCACTATTGTACAAGGCACTACACAAAATGAATATGAATTGAACCAAATTGATCTCCTGCAGTGAAATACAGCACAAGGCTATTTGCTTAATGGTTTTCCCATGCTCCAGTCTGAGTTTTATAGGTGGGCGTCTTTATTACGCACCGGCTTTCTGTGGCTGCTCAAAAGATGATAGATTGAGATGGGAGGAAGACGAATGTTCTGTGGAGGAACTGATGTACTGGCTGTGTCGGAGGCATGTTACTAAGGGGATGTGTTGTGTCTCAATCGCTCATGTTCTTTCATTTTTCTCTCCGCTGGCTCTTTTTCTATCTATCTCTCTCTCTTTCTGAATCATTCCAGACGACCTCAGGCGAGAAGATGCGGGACTTCGCAAAGACACTAAAGAACAAGTTCCGCTCGAAGCAGTATTTTAGTAAACACCCTCAGAGGGGATACCTGCCTGTTCAATCAGTACTGGAGGTGGAGAGTTCTGAGACGTGAGTCTGACTTCCTGTCTCTGCTGATGAGAATCACACCTAAGCGCCTTTGTGTTTTTTTTGAAGGTTTATAAGTGGAGAACTGAGGGACTGAACAAAGTGCACTGCAAGCAATTATTTTCTTCCCTGTAGAAAAGAAACATTTTAAACCAGCTTAAGATGCCTTGATGGCATTAGCTGGTCTGTTGACTGGTTTTAGTCACATTTCAGGTCATCAGACTGGGAGACCAGCTGGCTGCTCAGGTTAACCAGCTAGGTAATTTGTTGGTTTTAGCAGCCTCACCAAGGTGGTCGTCAGGTGGTTCCCATCCTGACTAGCTTTAAACTCCCAAAACTGCTCTAAAGTGAGCAATCGGATCACCCTGGCTAGCATGAGAGACCAGCTAAGACCCACAAATCTTAGACCATCTTATTTTTGTCTTGCTTTCTTATAAAAATATCTAAGCATCCTTAAAACCATAAAAATTGAGTTGAGATAAAGATAAAAACCTAGGTGGTTTGCTGGTCTTTCCTGGATTAAGCTGATTTCCCAGCCTCGCCAAGGTGGTCTCCAGCTGGTTTAACAGGTCAACCATCTGTTTTCCCATCCTGATTAGCTGAAAGCATCCAAAACCCCTCTAAAGCAAGCAAAAGGATCAGACTGACCAACCTCATAGACCGGTTAAGACCAGAAAACTAGGCATTCATACATACAGTAACAAGCTACTTTGCTAACAGATGTGTGTGTTCTTGTTTTTGACAGGCCCTGCACATCTCCCAGGCTGCCTCATGCGGACACACACAGCCGGATCGAGCATTTTGCCAGCAGGTACGAGTTCAGCCTCACACGGACAGTGATCACGCCTCACTTATGCTCTGATATTCTCCCAGCAGCCACTTCTGCTCACTCCCCTGAGCTCTGATTGGCATATTGATCCCCTTTGCATGGGCACAGTGTTCCAAACAGCAGGGCCTTAACAACAGCCTGGGAGGAAGTGAGAGGGGTGTGAGAAAGAGAGAGAGGGTTATAAAAAGTGAGATAGAGTGAGAGATAGCATTCAGAGGGGTGGACAGGGGTCAGCTGCTTTCCACTAGAAGAATGAAAGCTCAACCTACAAGGTCTGGAGGGCTTGAGGTGGCTGCCAGCACGGATCAGTCTCATTCTGGCCGGACGGAATGCACATTACACGCTCAGGAAACACACACACAGACATGGACTTGTCCTCAAACATGTTAAAATGCTTGCTCATACTTACACACAGTTATATCCGTGGGGTTTAGAATTAGGTGCAGTAGTACTTCAGGCTTTTGTCACGCTCACACACATTTGAAGTCACACAAAAACAACATTTCTGTAATTTCTCTACTGAAAAAAAAAAAAACTGGTTTTAACCAGCCTATACTTGTTTTGTGGTCTTCCAGCCTGGTCAAGCAGGTGTTTAGCTGGATAAAAGTGTGCCAAATTCATCTAAGACTAGCCAAAAGACTGGCTTGGGAGTCCAGATTAGACTGGTTTAAGGTTTTTTTTTTTTTTGGTAACACTTTACTTGAAGCCTTTATATACTGTATATAATGCATTATAAATAAATAATTGTAGCTTAAAAAAGTTAAAATGGATTACAATATTTGCAGATTCCTTGTTACATCTAAAATTGGTTGTTTGCTGTGTTTTAATGTATATATTTTGTAAAGATTTAACAATTAATAGATACGTAGTATAATTTATTATAACTGTTTACAAATATTCATATCATACAATGCATTATAAAGAACTTTTATAATGCATTATGCATGAAGGATTCAAGTAAAGTGTTCGTTTTCAGCAGGATTCACTCGCCCTTTTGTTGTTCCAAACCCATATGACTTTATTTCTTTTGTGGAAAGGTTTAGCAGAATGTTCACGCCACTCTTGAAATATATGCAAATGTAAATGTGATCTAGAGTTAGTGGTGGAGGGAAAAATGTTGAATAATTGGTCAGTACTGCTTAACTGATGTATCCAAAAGAGTTTAATACTTTGACACTCAAGTAAAATGCTGTAAGAGTAACAGAAAAACAGAGAAACCCTGTATGAGACCAGTATCAAATAATAAAACCAATATAATAACCAATACGACAGTAAAACAATTTACATCATACAATTACTAAGTGAAAAATGTGAAATCATTTACCTAATAACCCTTTAAATGCGATGCACAATACACAATAAAAAAAGGGGAAACCAACACGTGATTACAGTCTGCGCTCTTCATAACGCATGCACACACTGACAATGGGAAGCAGTTTATACAATCACATTGTGTGTGTTTGTTACAACTATGTCAAAATTAAATTCTGAATGAAAACAATTCCAATGCGAAATGCATAATCAATATAAACAAATTCCATTTAAGGAATTGTCGGGTCATTTACAGTTGAAAATTACATGGGTTTAGAATAACATGAATGTGAGTAAAATCTTCATGTTTGGCTGAACTAACCCTTTAATTCGGCTGTGGAAGCGCAGTGAAGCCAATGGCCCAATGTGACTGGTTTGGTTTGACTGCAGCAAACGATCAGGGATATGCTCCTCTGGCCCATCTAACTTCCCTGCCAACTACCTAAATACACACAAGCACATGCACACATGAACGCACAGATCAGCCCTTTGCCTACCCTACCATACTGTGCTGCCAACTGTCTCAGCTCACACCCTGCTGCAGCTCTTATCTGTACTACAAATAAACGAGAGCGCACACACACATTCTCTCTGTCTGCTTGTGTCCTTTTGTCTTCATCTATGTCTCCTCCTCTGTCATATGCTTGATTTCTACTCCTGCCTTTCAATGTCTTATTTCATTTCCCTCTTTCCTTCCTAATATCAATCACTTAACATATCCCACTTCTTCCTCTTGTCTTGTACTTTTTAATTCCCCAAATTTGTCTCTTCTCTCTCTCTCATGCTATCTCTGGTTTCCCAACCCACATCAGTGCCATCTGCGTTAGTTGTTCCTGCTCAAAACAATATTCGTTGTTTTTATTCAACTGTCACCAGTTAATATGTTTCACAGGGCTCTGTTTGTGTCTGACTGAATGTGTAAAATGTTCTGGGATCGTCGGCTCCCAGAATGCCAACAGCCTTGACTAAATTAGATAAGAAAATGCCTGAATATTTAAAACACTCGGGGACATGACATAATTTTTTTTTTTTTTACATTGCACATATCACTGGATACAAATGACATGGTAAAAGTGTACTTCAGTGACATGAACAAAAAACTGATGGGTTGGTTGATGGCTTAAAATATTCATTTTTTTATTATTTGCAATATTTATCATAAATTGTTTATTATCTGTTTATTATCTGAGCGATTTATCACCGCTTTATACCCAGTGAAGATTATTTTTATCTCCACATTTTTGTTCTTGCATCCATTTATACATTTACTTAATCACAAATTGTGATCAAACTGTCACTTATTAGCGGCATTATCTGATTTGCCTTGTTTCTTTATTGAATTTGGCCGTTAAAACATTTCTGACAAATGAAAAACATGCTAATAAGCACGGTCTCGTTTGATTCTTTGATCTCAATGTGCTTTCAGAAAATGCTCGAGCTTTCCATTTATGTCCTTGCTTTTGTACATTTATGCATTATTAAACTATACTACTTGATCTAAGTGTCGGCTAAATAAGAAAAGACAAGCGTTTTATTGCTGCAAAGATGCTTTCATAAAAAAATGAAAAATCCAGTTGCCTTTGGAAGCCCATTGGAAAATCACTTTCATTCACTTTTATCTGATAGTTCTGTCCTTCGCAGAATATGAACGATAGAGAGCATGTGCTAAATGAGGTGGCACATTATTTATTTCCAACATTGTCAAGACTAGCTTTGAACTCTAATAGAAAATTAAATCCTTGTCAGATGTTTCGGATGTGGTATCTGCAGTACGAGCGCAGAGGAAGAACATCATAGGCAAGGGAACGGAGATTGTATGTGCGTTTAAAGGCTAATCCAGAGTAATGACTGAAGGACCTCAACATCGAGGGGGTGGGAGAATAAATCCACTGGCATTTGATGGTCTAGACTCGCCATACAGGGGTGGATTTGCTTGGATATGACAGAGTAAGTGGTCTGTACTGACAGCCTTTCATCTGAAGAACAGACAGCATATCAGAAAGGCTGAACCACTGTTCTGAATCTCAACACACAATGTCCATTTCAAGACAGGGCTTCTCAAAGGAGGAAATAGTTTGTCATGTACTTGCTGATCTGTATTTGTAACCTCTCTTTTTCTCTCAATCAAGAGACCACACTGACCACACACTGAGAAACCCATTTAAACCACTACAAAGACATGCGTGTATAACCTCAAACTCCATTTGACCTCGCACCACAGAATCTGTAACATCATCAGCGGTTCCTAGTAACACATTTGATTGGATCTAGCTGATGGAGGTTTCAGTGGATTCAATTAGGAGTCGTCCCAGCCAGGCGGAGGGGTTAACCAGGTCAGCCAGTGCCACCGTCATTGGCTGAAGGACACCTGGTTTTGTGAATGTGTATCGACTTTCTGCTATTCCCTAAGGCAGCCCCATCCTGCATGTGTGTTCTCTAGTCTGCAATTCAGAGCTTTCTCTGGCAACTTTCCTAGCAACACGACATGAATGCACTTAGCACTCCTCATTACGGTCGCTATAGAGGCTCTTATATTGTTGCTAATTCACAGGCTGTCCTGGTAAGGTAGTGAAATCTCCCCAGTCTCTCACCTAAGGGTAAGCTAAGGCAGGGAAAGTGCAGAGCATTGCTAAAAGCAAACTTTCACCCCTGCATTGCTAATGGTAAGCACTGGGACCATTGTCCGCTCCCTGTTGTGTTGAGAACACCTCTGTTGTGCAGGGTTAATTTTGTCTGTTCTGGATGACACTCAGAATTTTGCTAGTGGCGCAGGGTGAACCTTCTAGCCATGCAAACTCATTTTCATATATTGTTGCATTCTGAAAAGGGTGGAAGTGCAATTTGTTGCATTATCAATGTTGCCACAAGGAGTGCAATAGTGAACTGTAGCATAGACCGAAGACGTTGTAGAGCAGGGGTGTTCAAACCTGTCCCTGGAAGGCCACTGTCCTGCAAAGTTTAGCTTTAGCCCTTATGAAACACACCTGAACCAAGTAATCAAGGTTTTCAGACTCCCTAGAAACTTCCAGGCAAGTGTGTTGAAGCTGGTTGGAGCTAAACTCCGCAGGACGTTGGCCCTCCAGGAGCAGGACTGGACACCCCTGTTATAGAGACAGATTTTGTAAGACATTTCTGGAAAACTAATTTGAAACCATATGTATTGTGAAAAGTGCTACACAAATATTTGTGACTTGATTAGCTAGACCAGCCTGAAATGTTTAATTTATTACTCTATCTATTTTTAGAAGATTATTAGAAGTAAGATTATTTATTTATATAAGAAATTGTTGTTTTACAGCAAGGATGCATTTAATTACAAGATTTTATTTCAAATAAATGCTGTTCTAATCATCAAAGTATCCTGAAAAAATAGGTAGAGCTAGACCAGCCTGAAATGTTTAATTTATTACTCTATCTATTTTTAGAAGATTATTAGAAGTAAGATTATTTATTTATATAAGAAATTGTTGTTTTACAGCAAGGATGCATTTAATTATAAGATTTTATTTCAAATAAATGCTGTTCTAATCATCAAAGTATCCTGAAAAAATAGGTAGTACAACTGATAATAATAAATGTTTCTTGACACCAAATCAGCATATTAGAATGATTTCTGAAGGATCATGTGACACTGAAGACTGGAGTAATGGCTGCTGAAAATTCAGCTTTGCCATCACAGGAATTCATTGTTTTTAAAAATATATTAAAATAGAAACCAGTTACTGTAAATTGTAATAATATTTCACAATATTACTGTTCTTACTGTATTTTTGATCAAATAAATGCAGCCTTGGTGAGCATAAGAGACTTTGTTCAGAAACATTAAAAAATCTTAACGAACCCAAACTTTTGAACGTTAGTGTATGTTGTTGAAATGTAAGCTTGATTTCATTCTTTCTCCATTTAAGTTGATAGGAGCTCTACAATTGCCTATATAGAAAATATTTTCAATACTTTTGCAATTGCGTTTGGTGCAGCTAGATACATAGAAATTGCTCATTTTAGCTTTGATTTGGCTTTAGGTTGACACAAGGACTAAAGCTGCAGTGGACCGTAAAGCATTCATACTGTATACCTTCGGGCAATGGCATGTCAGTTGTATGCCACGTAATCTGTAATGCATGATGAAGATCTTTTTCGTATTCTGTTTTTACCATGCCACTTGTGGCAAGGAATGCAAACTTGCGAGGTGTTTGAGTGAAAGTACCCAGGAGAGGTGTTTATGTCATAAAAATTGACAAATGAAGTGAAAGGGGAACAGATTCTCCCCTGGCTTTGTCATGGAGAGAAAAAGAAGAGGGTGAAGCCGCGAGGCACAGCTTCGGCAGTTGCATGACAATTTGCCACCCAGGTTAGTCGCGCACGGTATCGGAAAAGTCAGGGTAGGATAACAGCATGTGATTTTTAGGTTGGAGTAACTGCTCTAAGGTGTCTCCTATGCAGTCACTGAGATGTCTTGATGAGTCACAGCTGTCATCTTCTTTTCCTCTGCCAAACGTGTGCTATTCCGTTCTTCCGCATCTTGCATTTGAAGCCACTGTCCACAAACAAATTACAGTGCATGGTGACTTTGCCTTTGTACGCCTTTCTATATGATTTGACCCGTGTTCTGTAATATGACATTCTCATTTCACTTGCTTGTTCTTTTCAGGTTGGCAGAAATGGAGAACCAGAACTGTTCCTTTTTCACCGACAGTCTCTCTCCGGATGAAAGTTTGTGAGTACACCACCTCCCACACACACTCGAATCTGTCCTCATGCATGGGTGTGTGGATGTGCGCATGGCCATGCATGCATGCCTTCATGTTTGGTGTGGCTGGGCAGTCACATTAATTAAAAAAGGTAATGAAAACAACCCATGGCAATGTGCTCGTTCACCCTCCGTCGTATTAAGTCTGTGTGATTAAGGAGCACAACAGTAGGGATGAATAGAGCAGGCTTGGATGTTGACAGGAGAAAGAGAGAGAGAGTTAGTTAGTTAGTTAGGCTATTGAAATACTACCGAACAAGATGTTAAGAGCTGCAGGCCCAGCGGACATGTGAAAGCCACTGAAATATGAGCCTATATAGGTGAAATTAGGTGAGCCCTCAGAAAATCAAACTAATAGAAGAGGTCAGATCATCACAGCCCAGAGTCATGGCTGCACATGTTTTGTGCTGGAAATGGCTCTGTGTTTGTGCACGAGTGAGAGAAAGAAGGACATTTAAAGGAATAGTTCACCCAAAAATGAACTTGTCCTCATGTCGTTCCAAAGCTTTATGATTTTCTTTCTTCCATGGAACACAAAAGAATCTCTTTTCAAAGCAATTACAATAAGTTATCCAGCTTTAAAAAGCGATGCAAAAGGGCCATTAAACCATAATAAAAGTGGTTCACCTGACTCATGCACTGTATTCCAAGTAATTGTATTATATTAAGCCATACAATAACCTTGTGTGAGGAACACACAAAAATGTATGTTGTTACTCACTAAAAATATTCATCGCAACTGTTAATTGTGACCAGATTCTTTAAAAAGATTCAACTTAAAAGAATAATTCACAGTCAAACTCATGACCCGAAGAGAATTAGTTATTGGGAAGAATTGTAGCATAAAATAATATATTATAAATCAATAATACTATAACACTACTAATAATAATACCAAAAATATGTAGTTTATAAAATACATGTTTATTACGTGCTCAGCAGTAATGTTTTTTTCTAAGGTACACTTATAAAAGATACTTAAATGTCCTAATTGAACTGTGACCTAATCCTGGCTCAATCTAAGCCCTGTCTGTGAAACCAGGCCATAGTGTTTCTGTTGTTAACCTAAAAATTCACACTCTGTGTAACTCCATATTAAACTGATTTTACTATGACTAGATCAGCAGCAAGCATGTGAGGTTGTCATGGCAACCAGATACATAACATTAATTATTGCTGCGCTAAACTTAGCAATAAACATGCTGAAAATAATACACTATAAACATGTTTGTCAACGCAGTCTCAATGTAGGCGTTTGTTAAGCAAATCAAGGAATGAATTACATACTGCTTTAAAACAGACATCTGTTGGGCATGATTCAAGTTACAAACGCACAATTTAGTAAATCTTACTGCAAATAGGCGATTTTTATATTGTAAAATTTGTGTTTAAGTTTGGTTCCATGTAAATTAAATAACATTTGGTTGTAAATGTTCCTTGTCTGATATAATTGTAGAACACACTGAGCCGCTATTATGGCTGTATCCAGCTTATACGGTGTCATATGGCATCGGCATCCTCTTTTCTTTCCTTTTTTTTTTTTGGGTTAGGTCGAGATTTCTCTAGGCAGAGAGAGACAGTGCATCAGTGAGTAATGTATTATATTTACTTGACAGGGCATAATGTGCCATTTCAGTGGCTTTTACCAAATCTTCCTCGTCCAGAGGTCTATACTGTAAGTGGCCTTTGTTTACAGATGGCCCATGTTATGGAACCTCTATAATTACAGCAGAGTGCATGAAAACAGCTAGTTTTTATTGTTGATGTGACTAATGTGAGAGTCGTGATTATTATTACAGAGCTTCCTGTGTGTAGTGGTAATTTTTTTTTGCTCATCCTGTGTGCCTGTATATTAGCTGTGCCTATTTAGCTTGTTGTATTTTATGGCATGGAGAGTGCTTGGATTACCAGAAGTGTGCGTGTTTGTGATCGCCGCTTGTTCAGCATCTACGCTGCTGTTTGTTTTATGGATGATGGTGTGTGTAAGTCTGTGTTTACATACACTCTAAAGACGCCATGTGCAGTTTATGCAGAATATGTGTGCATGTGTTCTGTGTTGATATGCCACTGCTTCATTGTGTGCATTTGGCTTACGTACCTGCTGCTTTGTGTGCATGCTTGGCGCTGTGTGTGTCTGTCTGCTGCTGTGTGGCACCGCTAATGTGTTCAGTGTGCACTGTCTCCTGTGTGGGGGGACTCAGGGATGAAGATCAGTACCTCCTACGTCACTCCAGCCCCGCCCTCGAGCAGGACTCCCCCCACGGCCACCTGCTGGCCCACCTGGACTGCCAGAACAGAGAAGAGCTGCAGCGCACCCTCCAGCGCCTGGAGAACGAGAACAGGTGAGGGCACAGCCAGGGGCATGTTCACACTTTCACACTTGAAGCTGAAATATGCAAATTGTGCAACACTAATGTGAATTCCAAAAATACCTAGAATTTTAGATTTTTTTGAAGAACATGTGAATGATATTTAACCATGCAAAACCTGATAGTGATGCTTATTAGTTATTAGTTCAATTTTTTTAGTTGTTAGTTCAATGAAAGCTTCTTTGGTGCTTTTTTTGTTGTTGCTTGTTTTATTGTCCACCAGACAACAAAACTACATATTATGTATTATAAATGTAGTAAAAAGGTTATAATAATCGATTAAATTATATTTGATAAAGTTATAATTTAATAACGTTATTATGTTGTGCACATTTGTTTCTTAAGTAAATGCATCGTGTTTTAAGGATGTTTATAAATACTGAAATCATTTTGTAGAGAAATAAAACTATTAAATGGTTTCACTGAGGGTTATGCTGAACTTGTTTTAAATAATTGGGGGTAAAATTATTTGTCTTTGTAACTTTTTGACTTTCAGTTTCTGGCTGTGATTGACTGCACTTTGTGTTGGCACTTTAAATTTCACAGCTTTTCAGAGGATTAAGATAGAGCTAATACTTTTAAATTGGCTGAGATAAAATGTGTTGCTGGGAAACGGTGGACAATAGTACGATTATGATGGTTAGTGTGGGTCAAAAACAGTGATCTTTTGACCTGCGTCAAATGAACGAGGTGTGCTCTTTAGACCTTAAAACAGCTTCAAACATCAGCAGAAACACAAAAAAAGTCTATTTGGTCTACCATTTCATTTCATCCCGAAGGCTATTGTTACAGCTGTGATTCATTTATGAGTTTTGTCTTCAGCGTAAATCCTGACCTTTAAGTCATTCTCTCATGTGGTCTTGCTTTGTTATAGGTGAGTAATAGGTCAATAAAGGAAGATTAATTGTTAGTGTCTGCAGGGGATCTGCAACCTTAACCTCCTGAATAAATCAGGGCTTCCCGCTGTCATTATTGGGATAGAAAGAGCTGAGTGATGGCTGCTCTGTTAAACACCCATTTTGTGTTATTTCTTTTGTCTTTTTTCATTCAATTTTATTTTATTTTACTGGGTTATAATAACAATTTCTTAACAAGAATATGTGTGTGTGTATGTATACTGTATATAATAAAATAAAACAAATAAATAATTATATATATATTATCAAATTATTTATAATTATTACATTCAATTATTTTAATAATTATTTACATAGTAATTATTTAAATATTTATATATTTAATATTTAAGGTATTTAAAGATAAATTTAAATATGTTATAATAAATATTTATATGAATTTATATTTATCTAAAATAAGATAACATTTAAAAATTAAATGAAATTTAGAAGGATAAAAAACTTTTCCTGTTTAAAGGGGTAGTTCACCCAAAAATTTAAATTTGATGTTTATCTGCTTACCCCCAGGGCATCCAAGATGTAGGTGACTCTGTTTCTTCAGTAGAACACAAACAAAGATTTTTAACTCAAACCGTTGCAGTCTGTCAGTAATATAATGGCAGTCAATGGGCTCCACGGCTTTGAGAGTAAAAAAAACATACACAGACAAAACCAAATTAAACCCTGCGGCTCGTGACGATACATTGAGGTCTTAAGACATGAAACGATCGGTCTGTGCAAGAAACTGAACAGTATTTATATCATTTTTTACCTCTGATCCACCGCAATGTCCAACTGTCCTGAGTGCGTTCACAACATACGGCGCGTGACGCGTGACGCGTGTACGTGCTCTGGCATAGTAGACGCATGAGCTGAAGCGATCTGTCGCGCGTATACGTCACTCATTGGATGTTGTGAACGCGCTCAGGAGTTAAAAATCTTCGTTTGCGTTCTACTGAAGAAACAAAGGCACCTACATCTTGGATGCCCCGGGGGTAAGCAGATAAACATCAAATTTTCACTTTTGGGTGAACTATCCCTTTAAGATACAAAATGAATTTGTATAGGCTGAGTATGAGAGAATTCTATATTGAGTAAAGAAACATGATTGTATCACATTTGTTTAAAGTAACAACTTTTGTCTAGATGTTGCATGCATAATGATCTAAATGATGATGATGCCAAGAAAGCAATAGTGATGATGATGATGATGATGATGATGATGGTGTTGTCTTTCCTGTAGGGTGCTGCAGGGTGAGTATCGGCGGCTGAAGTGGAAGCACGAAGAGGCAGCAGCATCACCCCAGCTGCTGGAGCCAGGTCCAGGTTCACCGGCCGTTCAGCAGGATGAGGAGCTCTTAGCCGAGGCTCGAGTCCTTCGACAGCACAAGTCCCGCCTGGAGACGCGAATGCAGATTCTGGAGGACCACAACAAGCAACTGGAGTCCCAGCTACGCAGACTCAGAGAACTACTGCTGCAGGTGAGATTTATGAGATATAAACATATGCCTGTATACTAAAAAAAAGGAGCGGTATGCCCACAGTGAGTACTAAAGTGTTAGCCAGAATAGATTATAATGATAGAAACAGTGAAGGAATGGTGCGTAGGGAGTTGTATGAATATGTTACCACTGTACAGGGAGGGACATGAACAGGTAAATCAGGGCCTTCTGCACTGGTAAGTTTAACGTTAAATGTTTATGGGTTTGAAGGAATGTTTTGAGATTTAAAAACAGCCACTATGAGAGAAACAAAGATAGGCTTTCTTACAAAATATACTGAAAAGGGAGGTAGAGGGAGGAAGACGATGTATTTGAAGCTCCCTGCAAAAAGAGTAGGGATGCGACTGAACAGACGAGGATAGTCCGTATCATAGACTGTATCATATGTAGAAGGGTAAAAGTCAGGCAAGAGATGCTTACTAATGCAGGTTCAGTAAGGACAAGGAGACGAGGAACTAGAAAAGACTTGTCTCAGGTGATAGGAGAAGAGATGTGAAAACAGAAAGATTTTTTTTAAAAGTCACTATTATTGATACCTGAAAAGAGATGGAGGACGAGAGAGTGCAGGAAAGCACACTACATTCTGGTGAATTGCTTCTGGTAAATTGCAAAGATGGGAAGGAAGACTTAGAGAGAGATTATATATGGGGAAGGACACCATTGATGGAGATAGAATCATATAGATGGAGTGGGTAGAAGGTAAGTCATTTCTTGAACTGACGTACATGGAGCTTAAAGTCACCATGAAATCAAAATGGAAAATTCTTATTTTTTAATGGAATACTGTAGTGTTTATTATAAATAATTTATCTGTGCACTTCATTATTTTTTTTAAATTCATGTGCCCTCTTAATCTTTAATCAAAAATGTCAACCTCCCCCTCAAAACGACTCAACTTCTCTTTCAGTCACGAGCTATGGCGCAAGGGCGGAGCTAGTGACATGAGGGGTAAACGCTGGGATAAACGACAGGGGGGAAAGCTGAAGCTGATGCTTCACTTTATAGCACTGACACCAGTCATGAGGGAGTACGTTACCCCTAAACATTGAAAAGATATTAGGATATTACGACAACATTACTCTTAGGACATCGCAAACTAATTTTCTTTCATGAATATGGCTTAACCTGATGGAGGACGTGCTCAGTCATTCAGGCAGTCTCTCTCTCTCTCGTGCGCGCGCGCTGTTTAGGCATGTTTTGTGCCATTGATCGTCGTTGTCATCCTTAATAAATAAAACATTTATTGTTGCTTGGGTGTCGGCGGTGAATCCAGTGGAGAGAAAACCCCCACCACTAACTGCAAACTGGCATTCAGATCTGCCTCCATTTTGTTAGCAACGCCCCAACTTCCAACGATCCAATCAGTTCCCGAAGGACGAAATCAAGTCCTGCCCTCTCATTTCAGATGCCGTTTTACTCGTATATACGTCACAGTAGAGAAGAAAAGACAATCGCAACTTCCGTTTCATGCCGACTTTAAGGAGCGAGATGACAGAATAGAGTGGGCAGAAAAAGGATTCTTTTCTTTAGTCAAAGAAAGACAGAAAGCAGGCCGAGGAGGGAAAAGAAAAGCTCAGGCAGTGCTGAGTGAATGGGATAAGAGGTGGTTGTGCAGAAAAAAGAGAGGTAGTGCTGCAGAGGTATGATTGGCAGGCTGGATGGAATGAAAGAGCGGAGCAAAAACACTGAGGCTGTAGCTGTAGGCGAAAAGGAATTAGACGGAAATAGAGGGAAGGAACAGGGGGAGAGAGATCGACTTAACCTATAAAAATGAGCGAGAGATGTGTCATGGGGAAGCAATAATGTGCAGGGATTGTGGAGATATGAACTCTTCGTTCTGCACCCTTAGAAAGTCGCTGGGAAAGTTACAGTCTTACCTCTGTGGACATCTCTGCAAGGCGATAAAAGAGTTTAACTTTGAATAAATTTGAGGTATTCATGCAAACAGCCTCAATCAACTCATCTCCCTCTCTCAAAAAAGCTAGTGTTCTCTTGATTCGTATCAGTTTATTTCATCCCTCAAGAAAATACACCATTTTTGTAATGTATGGAAAAGGGGCCAAATCCCTGCTCGATAAACAGAAGTTTGGATTTTTGACAGCATTTGAAAACTTGTTTTTCTCATCGAAGAACCCAACAATAGTATTTTGTTATTTTGCTAGGCTAGTAAACTGCATACTGAACAGTATACAGTGGGTACGGAAAGTATTCAGACCCCCTTAAATTTTTCACTCTTTGTTATAT